CCATAGCTCTTTCCATAGGCAGGCTGTTTGAAAACAAGTTGACTTTATTTTAGGGACAGGTAGGACTCCAGCTTCGGGAGGGGGTGGTGTCTGCAGGAACAGTTGGAGTGTTTTCTGGTGGTTGGTTGTGTTTTTTTCCTCCACTGGCATTTTCAGTTCAAGCTTTTAGAAAAGCCTGTGTGGTAAATCTGGAAGAGCAGAATGAGAGGGTGTGGGTTAAGAATGTGTGAATTGACAACATGTTTCTTACTTTGCAGATTGCAACATGCAGAAAAGGCAAGACAGGCTGCAGAAGAAAGATGCAACAAGATGAAGCAAGAGCTCGCTGGGAGGCTTGATTCCTGCCGGCAGCAGATGTCCCAACTGGACAGCAAATGGTATTTAGTCTGATTGTGGGTTTTAACTTCCCTTCTACCATTGCTTTAAGAAGTGCTTTCTACTCCTGTGGTGCTCAGGTCTGAAAAGGGACAGGTTTGAATTAACCAAGGAAAACACAGCCCTTCTGTATAGCACAGGTAGCAGTAGGGGCTGGAACTGGTTTTCCCCAGAACATCCAGTTTAGAGCACGGAATGCCAGTGGAAGTCTGGCCATTCTGAGTAGACCTTGGAGCTTTCCATTGCTTTTTCACTAAATCAGGAGATAGACATGGTCCTGGCTGTAGGCTGAGCAAGTGACTGGCATCCAAACAGATTGGGGTTTTGGAATGGTTTGGGGGTTGTTCTTAGGGAATGTTAATCCTCCAAAGATTTCTAATACCTATAGAAAATGCTTCCTTCACTGCTCAGACTTCATGGTAAAGTGTCATTTTTAAACGTGGCTTTTAAACACAGATGGTCGAGTATGTACCTGTGGGTACTCTATTGGATGAGGTGTCTGCTTCTCATACTGTTGCTATCAATAAGTGCTGTGGGGTATAAGGTTTCTTAGAATGAGTTCTTTTTAAATAGCCTAACTCTGGAAAAGGAATTAAAATCTGAAAAGGAACAGAGACAGACTTTGCAAAGAGAACTGCACCAGGAGAAGGATGCTACCACCCTGCTTAAAACAGAACTGCAGCAGATGGAAGGACTGAAAAAGGTACGCATGGTGCAAGTTCAGGGCTGAAGCTGACCCAGCACCAGTAGAGGGTAGAGGCTTTCATCTGGGGGCTTCCAAAGCTTGGCTGATGTAACACGAGTTATGCTACACATGAGATAAGCTAACACATGAGATGCTAATACAGGGCACAGGTCTAACTGGAATTGCCAAGCAGCCTCCTCAGCCACCTCCAGCTCCCTGCCCTGCCTCAGCCACGAGAGTCACTGGACAGGAGCTGAGGCTGAGGTGGAAGAGCTGGGGACACAAAGCTCCTCCACTGTCCCCCGGCGAGACAGCCCTGTTCATGTAGAGAGTGGCAAGTTCAGGGCTTTCAGTGACTGTGTGAGGTCTTACCAGTGTGTTTAAAACAATCTAAGAACAAGTTTTCAAGCATTCAGAACAACTGAAGGCACTTTATGTTTTAAGCATGAACGCTCTTGTCAAACTGAAGAGCATTTGCTGCTGTCTCTGGCAGTTTAGATTTTGAAGATGCAATTGTACACCAGTGTCTGTCTATAGGCTCATGTGCAGGCACAGCACTGCTGCACTCCAGCAATGCTCGAGGAGGTTTAAAGCCTGAAAATCTTCCTCTTTCTCGTAAATATGGTTAATGATTTGTGCAGAACCCAGGGGTAGTTCATTCATGTCATTCTGAAAATCAAGCCTTAGAAACAGGAGCTTACTCTTGTGAACTGCTTGGGTAGCTTGGACAGACTGACCGAGGCGATAGGTCAAACTTGGTTTTGTGCTTGATTTTGTAGGAACTGAGGAAACTGCAAGATGAGAAGCAGCAGTTAGAGAAGGTCTGTGAGGAGCAGGAGCAAGCTCTGCAAGAAATGGGACTTCATCTCAGCCAGTAAGTCCTAGAAACTGAACTCCTGGAAGTGACATGGAGGATGCAGAATCAAACTGATACAAATCATTTTAGAACACGTCCAGGTATAAAACCCAATAAACCTGAGAAGTTCAGGAGACAGCTCCTGTGCACTATGTTCTCTGGGGAGCTAAACAGCTATGAAATAAAAGCAAGGGAAGCTCCTTGCCAGAGTAGGATGGCTGAGACAGGAACCGGTACAGGGAATGCTCAGTGCTCACAGGGGAACTGCACCAGTCCCACATTCCTCTGAATATACTGAAAAGGGGCAAACCCCGAGGTGACAGTGACAAAGGTTTCCTGGTGATACCGAGCCTGGAGCCGGCTGCAGCAGCCGAGTGTAGATGCAGCGGCCGGCAGCGGGACTGCAGGTCAGAGGGAACGTGGCTGGAGGAAAAGTCATGCAGAAGAAATCATTTATTTACTTATTTTTCAGATCGAAGCTGAAGATGGAAGATATTAAAGAAGTAAATAAAGCACTAAAGGTACTCTGCACCTCACGGCTGTTTTGACTAAACATACACATTTCATTTAGTACCTTCAAATTTCAACCTGGTTATCCCACTCCCAAAGGTGGCTTTGGAAAAATACCACCACCGTTGGCAAACTGCCCTTGAATTGCATTTTAGAAACGAACTTGTAACTTTTCGTTCCCATTTTCTAGGGTCATACCTGGCTGAAGGATGATGAAGCCTCACACTGCAAGCAATGTGACAAGGAGTTCTCCATCTCCAGAAGGAAGGTAGTGTTGTTCAGTGGGTTGTTTCTTCCTTTTGTCATGGAAAACAGAAACTGTGCTGTTGTGTGCTGGGGAAGATGCTTCCGTTCCAGATCTGGTTGGCGTGATGACTACAGGGAGAAGTAATTTGGCATTTCCTGTGCTAAAAATACTGTTGTTGTGCTTGGTGCTTCCCTTGGTAGGGAGCTTTGGGGGCTGTGTTCTCCTGTGCTGCATTTCTCTTCCCCTCCCTGTTGGAGGTCTGGGCGCTCTGTACCTCGATGCTGGGGTCCTGCTGGTGGGTTGGGACAGCTTGAGGTGCCTGCGGAGGGCACCCGGCAGCCCAGGCACCACCTCTCCTCCCATAGAGCTGTGCTGGAAGCAGGGGCTGCCCGCTTGGTGCTCGGGAGAGCTGTGGAGCGGCAGCAGAGCGGCTCCTCCAGCCTGGCAGGCAGCGGGGCTGCGCAGGGGTCACAGCGCTTGTGTTCTCTGAGCAGGAGCAGAGCTGAGGGGAGGGCTGGGCCTGTCGGGAGCGGAGGGTGATGTCGCTGTGCTCCAAAAGCTGCTGGGAGGTCTGATTTCCCTCTCCCTGGTGCTGGGGTTTCAGGCAGTTGTGGTTATTGTAACCCTGTGTTTGCAGCACCACTGCAGGAACTGCGGGGACATCTTCTGCAACACTTGTTCCAGTAACGAACTGGCGCTGCCATCGTACCCTAAACCCGTCCGTGTCTGTGACACTTGTCACACTTTACTCCTCCAGCGGTGCTCCTCTAACTCCTCCTAAGGCTGCCAGAACCTTGCCCTTTGCCATGGAAAGTAGCCATTATTTTTGTAACTGAATTGCAGGCGTCGCCCATGCAGCAGGCCGCTGCTCTGTAGTGTTTTCCGCTGTGCTGCAGCAGCATGGAACAACTTGTAGGGATGGTGCAAAGTCATGTTTCTCCAACTGGAATAATTAAGGAAACTGTATTAATTGTAACTTCCCTGAAAGTTCTATTTGAAACTAAAATGCAACTTCACTTTTCTGATTTTTATAGATATTTGTATTAAAATTTGTATATGGCCTTTCTACGTCCGTTTGATCCCACAGACGTCACTGTCGCTCTGCACATTAACTTCACTTCCTCCCTATGCTGCTGTAGGTGCTCCCGTTCCTCCACGGGCTGGTGCATGGCCCGTGTCTGCTCCCGGCGCAGGGAGGAAAAGTCACTTTATGGGTTGTCTCTAGAAAAAGCTTTATGGTGAGTGTCAATGAAGGTGCCTTCTGGTCACTGCAATCAGAAACTGCGCGTTGTACTTGTCCTGAGTCACTGTTACACAATAAAGCCTTTTGCAAGAACAGAAAGTGAGAGCAAGTTCTGATGTTTAACAGCTGTCAGAGGGTTTGAGGACAGCCCCACATAGCAAGGGCTCAAATTGAAGCTGCTGCCGAGCACCTGGTGGGATTAACCGCTCCCATCCCCAGCTCGCCCCAGGCCACACTGGGCAGCCACCTCCCTCCGCCCGTGACGCTGGGCACTCAAGCCTGAGGTGGGTTCCAAACCAAAGTCCCTGGCAGGTGGACCCTGTTAATGGGTCACCAGCTCCGCTGCTGGTGCATGTCAGGGCATTGAGCTGTGCACTCACACCCAGCTCGGGGGGCGGGGGGCAGCAGTGCGATGCTGCTGCACCAGTGCCATGTGATGCAGCGGCTGCCGAGCACATGATGAGGCAGAGACTCATTCTCTCAATGGCTTCATTCAGACCAGCACAAACCCGGCTGCTGCAGCCACCTCGCATGGGAGCAGCAGGGAGACAGGGCAAAGGGGGGGGCTTTAATGTGGCAATGGGATGGAGTGGTCTGGGTTTAACTCCCAGAACATGGGGGTTTCTTCAGTGCAGAAGGGACCTTCCCATTTCTGGCCCTCAGGAAAGAATGGGTAGAAAGGGCAAGTGGATTCACCCCGGCAAGTGCCAGGAAGCAGATCCCCTCCAGCTTCGGGGAAGCTCCACTGCTCAAAACCTGGACCCAAGCTCTTTGTAAAACCCCATCTTTAATAAGCATGACCTTAGAGAAGCTGAATGTGCTGAAGCAGGGCTGCCCCGTGCTCTGCTGCAGCTGATGAGGCCACACACAATTGCCTCTTGCCCTACATGCGCAGCCCTGCTCCCGGCACAGCCATGCAGTGCTCTGACCCAAAAGCCCACCCTCGCAGGTGCTGGTTTCCCAGCCACTGTCCCTTTGGGGTGGTAACACCCATCAGGAGCACTCACACCCTGCTCACGGCAGGCACAGATTAGGTGTCAGCCCCCAAGACCACCCCTGCAGGCGCAGCTACAAGAAGGAGGGAGAGTTCCAGTTTTTAAAAGGAAGATTTATTTAACAAGTTTCACTTAGCGCAATACACCTAAAAAGGAAATCACAATACAATGAAAGATTAAATCAAGGCCTCAGAATTGTATACGAACACCAAGACCCAAATCCTAAAGTAGCCGTATTGCGTCTCGACATGTTTCCCCATTAACTTAAAAAAAAACCAAAATAAAGAAGAAGCTTTAACATGCCTTACAGGGTATTAAAAGAAAGAAACTAGAACTAACATGCCAAATGTTCACTTTGAATTTCAGACACAGCTCCTATATCATCAGTTCTTTACAAAAAAAGCATCTCCCTCCACATGTATTCAAAACAGTGTTGGATGTAATATGGTATAAGAGCAACATTTAACGTAATTCAAACAGCTTTAACCTAAATACGCTTATTACTGCTTAAATACACTCCTACAACAAAACTAACTTGAGAAACGCCCAAAGTTGTTTAACAGTTATAGTCTTTTACTCAACTTGGTTATTACATCCTAGATGAATGTTCAATTTCGGTATGTTCAAAAAATACTGAACCTGAAGGGTTTTTAAAAGAACAATCTTGGGTTCACTGACAGTCAAGCAGAAATCACAAGCTCGTATTGCAAAACTGTTAAACTTAGTTTTTTGTTTTTTTGTTTTTTAAAAAAAGATGTGACCAAAAGTCAGCGCTCGGTTACATTCCCCAGCCACCACTCATGTTGGACATGTTGGACATGCCGCCCATGCCGTTCACTCCCATGGACGCGCGGTTCCCGCTGCTGTAGTAACTGCTGTTCATGGCGCCCTGGCTCCCGGGGTCTGGGGGGGAAACCGACAGCAGGTTCACAGCTGGTTCAGGCCGATTCGTAGCATCCTTCCCCCAACGCCTGTCCTTGCTGGGCCACCTCGTAAATACCGTCTACTGTGCCCAACGCTGCAAAGTGGCAGTTTACAGCTCCGTACCCAAAGTCATGGAGTTTGTTGGTTGTTAATGAAAAGAGCCAGCTCTGTCTCACCCCGCTTCCGAGCTCAGCTGAACTGCCCCATGGAAGCGGAGAGGACCCGGCCTCCCACGTGCCCCCCCCTCGCTTCATGCTGCATTGAAGCCAGGCTGACCTCCAGCTTCCACACCAAGAAAGCGAGCAGAGCAACACAAGCCCAGAGACCAGCATTGCCTACCCCCTTCAGAACGGTTTCCCACCTTCCCGCCCCCAGCACCGAGCTCCTGCTTTGGATCTATCCCCACCAGCTCCCCGTTAGTGCAGGTTCACAGCAGCCAAGCTGTCAGCTTGCAGTGCTGCCCAGCCTGCAGCACAACCCCTCAATGCCAGCGAGCAGCACCGTGAGCCCTGCTCAGCCAGCTGCACCTCCTGAACCAGACAAGAGCTTCCCTTACCATAGCCACTCATGCTGCTCTGGCCGCCGTATCCACCGCCATAACCCCCGCTCAGCTGCTGGTTGGCTGGGCCACCGTAACTGGATTGGCTTCCTTTGGAGTTAAGGATAGGAACGGTAAGAGTTCGCCTGTCAAAGTCTGCTCATCATGAGCAAATCTACCCCTCACCTCACTAACAGCCCCTCTTCCCTGGCACAAGCTCGTGCTCTCACGGAAGTACCTTCCTTCTGAAGTACGTATGGCAACAAGCTCACTAAGGGTTTCCTTCTGCAGTTTCTAGGGACTATGTGTAGCAGGATCAATCTGCCATTGCGTACACAAACACCCCAAGAGACCTGAACCTGGCTTTAGTGCCCTCACACAGGGCTGCAGCTGCCAGCAACATGCTGACTCATTAAACGGAGTCACCCCATCACATTCCATCCTGGCAGGGACTCAGTCCTGTTCCAGACTGACTGAGCACTACAGCTCACCACACAGGGGACCTCTGCTTCAGCTCACCAGCCACTGCTCTTCACCTCATCACTGCCTATGCTCCCATAACACTTGCCAGTAAAGCATCAGCATTAACCTCAAACTATCTGTTATCAAAATACTACAACCCCAACCCCAAGAAATCCCCCAAAACCCAACCACCACCACGATCTCCAAGAAACCAGACAAGTCAGGTATCAAGAAGGGTATCTGCTCTACAGAGTGGCATTGTTTGTTTGACTTGCATTGCAAACACAGTTCAGATTTTCAAACACTTCTGGAGTTTGCTAGAGCAATCCAGGCAGTATCTCCAAATTCCAAATTAGTTTTTCCCTTACCACCAAGCCCAGACTTGAACAGCAGGTCACAGGTGGTGCCACAGATGGTGCCACAGATACACCCTCCATCACCAGATGACATTCCAGTTTCCAAAATCAAGGGAGAGGGAAGGAAGGTAAGAGCACAGGCATCACCCATGCCACTTTCATACCACCACCCCCCTCCCAAGAGCCTCTCACCCCACCACACGCACCACAGTCAGCATCACAGTTTATTCAGCCTATTAACTGTTTGAATGTATTCCCAAAAGGTTTATATACCTGGCAATGTGCTAGTGTTCCAGTCTTGGACCACCCCTTCCGATTCCTTGACTGTGTGATTAAGAGAAAACGTTGAATTTCAGTCTTTGTGCCAGGCACAGAACAAGCAGGAGCTGTGCATTAGCCAGCTTCATTAAGTATCAAGTGCTGGTTCAGAAGCACAGTTAGGACTGTGTACACATACCCATTGCGCCCATCATCTGACTGCCATAGGCACCACCACTTCCTCCTGCTGTAGAATTCAAGAAGAGTTCTACGTATCTGTGTTCTGGAAGAAGAAGAGCGATTGCCATGAGAGCATTTCACACAGAACCCCCGGGGTCTGTCACGCCACAAGCAGGGCTGCAGGAACTCCATCAGCTCTCCAGGCAGAGCAGAGCAGAGCAGAGCAGAGGCACAGCAGCACTGCTCCCCCCTGAAGAGCAGGCGCACTGTGGCATATTCGCCTTGTCTTTGGACATTGCAGCCACTGCGTCCTCGTGAGTAGCAAACTCCACGTCTGCCTCTCCAGTTACTCTGCCGTCTGGTCCGATTTCAATGTGTACTCTTACGGGGTTCAGAGGTGAGAAGAACTACACATGGAACAGTCACACAGATTAAAACGCACCAATGCAAGAGCTCAGTCTCACAGCAAACCGCTTCCTCTAACAGAGCACTCGTTCACTGCTGTGCCCTGAGCACCTCCAGTAACGGCTCTGGACTCTGGAAGCCATGCACTGGGAGAAGGGTGGCTCTGGGACTCACGTTATAGATGTCGTTCTCCGTAGCTCTGTAGGGCAGACCTCTCATGTGGACGCAGTGGCCAGTCGTGCTCTGGAAGGTGGACGCCCCGTCGCCGTATCTGTGGTCCGACATCCCTGCAGAGAAGAGAGTCCATTCTAGGTCTTTCAGATGTATTTTAGGTTCTTTTGAGACGTATTGTAAGTTCAGTTACTATTCCTATTAGAGATCTCTTACCTCTTCCAAATCTATCAGAACCAAAACCATAGCCATCATTATACCCATTGTAGTCATCATAACCTCCATAACCTATAAATAGATTGGACAACATGTTCATTTCAACTACAGAAAAATCCAAATGCACAACGAGCACACTGCAGACAACGAGCATTAGGAAGTTTCTTTTCTTCTAGAAGAAATAAAGCCAAGGACATATACAAACCAGCAATTACGAAGTAAAGAGGACACTACCAGGTCCAAGTGTTGCTGCTTCTCAGATGAGCAGCTCCCTCTTGGACACCATCTACTTACCTCCTCCGTAGGCTCCACGCCTCATCCTTTCCAAGCTACTTCCTCTACCAAGACTGTTATATCCACGTGTGAGACCGGGTCTGTCGTAAGGACCAGGTCTCTGCATTGCCAGCAGCTTGCGTGGAGGGTCGTAGTGAGTGCGCACCTCTGCTCGACTACTCTTGAAGATCTCAATGTACCTACAAAGTGTTTCCACAGAGAGAAGTCAGGCTCCGATTCCTTCCACAAACACAGTTTTACATTAAAACAAGCCATTTAGTCATAGCCTTGAAACTGGCAGTGTATTTTAAGCCAGGTTTCTTTACGTTATGTAGGCAATGACATACTATTGTAAGCACTACATTACTTTCAAATCAGTGTATTTTCAAGAAATTACAATTACTGAAGGGTTTACATGCTCCTCACATACTTTGCAGTATCCCAGCCTTAAGGGTGGGGGAGCAGTATTGATTCCCAACCCTCCTCCCCCCCAATTTAAAGTGTTAGTCAAAAAAAGAGAAACCATAGGAGGGACTGTGTCCACTCAACTCAGCACTGTTTTGCTCATGTGGCAATGGAAAGAGAGGGTTAAAACCCCGGCCTCCACCAGGACTTCAACCCATCAGGATGCTACAAGAAGCTTGGCATGTGCTAATGAACCCAGCCTATGCTTCAGCGACTCAGCGTAGGCAAAAAGTGCATGCTTCAATGAAAAATAGTCACAAGTCAAATAGAATAAAAACCCTTTGTGACAATTTCTTGAAAGCTATGCTTATTACATTGAAGATTAATACAGTAAGTAAAATTTGTTACATTTCAACTTATAAAACAAGTTTAGAAAGTATCACATTTTCTTATGGTAGTAAGAGTACTGTGCATGTCTTTAGAGCTAAAGGCATAATTGGTGCTATATTGAGAAGTTAAAGCCATAGTCTCTCAACTTTGTCACTTGCAAGCTATCAGTTTTGCACTTCTTCATTATTACCCAGTTTCCAAAGCACATTTCAGCTTGGCCCAATTTCATCTTTCATTTTGGGTAGATCCAAACAGCCTGTGCCAGAGGCACATTAGCAATAACTTTACTTATCGCCGAGTTAGAGACCAGAAGAGTGCTTCTGGTCAGACGTTAACACTTTCAGAAGAGAGAATATGGATTTAATGATTTACCATAAGAAAAGTGACAGAGCCAACCAACCATCCATCCCCACCTGTGCCCTATTCTTTCCTTGTGTTTCTTTAGAGCCTTTTCAGCTATTTCCTGTGAAGCAAACTGCACGAAGGCCTCCCCCGTACTCCTCCCCTGGAAGTCCACCGGCAATGTTATCCCATTTGGCACGATTTCCAACCCTTCAACCCAAGGACAAATAACCCCAGTAGGGGGGCAATATTAACATCACAAGCCCAGTCATGAGTTTTTCTTATAGCTTTAAATACACCAGAATTTTAACACTTGTAAGTGAATGGCATGTTGAGTCTAGAACAGCAGAAAAGAAAGCATGTCAACAACATACCATTCAGTTTATGTTCTTAACCCACCCTGCAGAGCACAGAAAACATTCTGAGTGTCAGGGACGACTCCTCAGACCAGGCATCTAATGCAGGGTGCATTAAGAAGCTCACACATTATTATTACAAACCTTCAATTCTGTGAAAGTATTTAAGATGAACGTTTTAAGACAACTTAAATTCAAACACAGCAAGTTAAACAGCTCTATATATAACAAGTATTTTTACTAGAAGTCACTCAGGTAACATAATTAGTCTTATGCAAACATCAGTTTCAGCATTAATTTTTTTATCTTTAGGAGTGCTTAATTAAGAAAAAAATCATGAAGTAATTTCAAAAGTATTAGTTTCTGAACAGAAGAGGCACATTTTGTATATTAAGCACATTAACAGTTTTTAAAGCTTGAATTACTTAACCATGTAAGAAAGAAACAACTTAAAATGCACATGCTTAAGAACTGCTCTTGTTCAAAATATACTGATTCAGAAAACAAAAACAAGTTCTGAAGTTGTAAAATTGGAAATATTTATAACTGTATTTTAAAGCAAAACAGTGAGCTCCATCATATCCTGTTATAGCACAACATTTCAGCTGATTTTAAACACTCACATTTAGAAAGCTACTACTTTGAAAACACTAACAAGTTAAACCCTAAATAAAACAGATTTCTGTCTTAAGCATTTATAATAGTATTCCAGTTCATAAAACATACAACAGCTGCAAAAAAGTGAGAATGAGTCAATGCAAAACAAAGTTTTTATGGATGAAGAGATAAAGTTAGACAGTGACAAGGACTGGTTTGGGGGGGTTTTCCCCCAGGAAGTGGAGGGGGAAAATCTGTTCTTGGGCAGAGTTCAGCACGTTGATGTTTTTCTGGAATCTTCCTCAATACTAACCCTATGTTTCTAAGAAGCCATGGGCACACTGCACACCCATTCCTCAGGCCCTGCTCCTGTACTGAGCCCAGCAGTATGGGTGTTGTACAGCCTTCACTGAACAGCATGAGCAAGCCGAGACTGTGGGTGGAAATATCCTCCCACCTCAACTGTTCACTTGGAATTTAGAAAGCAAAACACTTCTTGGTTTCTGCTATCCTTACTTGGGACAGTACGTCCCATTAACTATAAATGAGAACTGATTTTTGGAGTTCCCTCAATTATTCAGTAAGTACTTCAGGAATTGATCCCTCATGCCCAGATAAGCAACAAGAACTGCTTATTTACTTTTAATACCCATCAGTTACTGCTGGAAGTACTACTGGGCATCCGTGGCTGCTCGGTTACTGTTGGTTTCTTTTTAGCATAGACCAATAGTGCTACAGCTACTACTTTTATCCCACATACCTGAAAAGAACTGTACAATTTCTTCTTTACTACAGCCAAATGGAAGTCCTCTAAGACGTACAAAACCATCATTAGCTGTATCAGGGCTGTTGGGACCAGTATGCTTCAGAACCCAATCCATTTCAACGTTGTTTGACTTGAAAACTGTAAAAGGCACTTAGAATTAATGCATTCTGGAATACGCAAGAGTTTTAAAAGCCATTTGCCTTGAAACTAATCAAGTTATGACATACAAGTCCACTTGTCCTTTTCACATGCATTTTAAAGAGATAAACGAAGCAATTAACCAAAAACCCATCGAGCACAAGCACATTTAGTCAGTTACAAGGCCAATTGAGTCAAACCTTCAACATATCTGTGTCCCATTGTTTCTCTGTCTTTTTTCAGAGCCAATTTCACATCCTCCTCTGATTCAAGTTCAGCAAATGCTTCTCCACTTGGTCTGCCCTCCCTGGTGTAGATGAAACGGATTCCCAAAGCCCCATTCAGAATCTTGCAATCTGGAAGTGAAAAAGGAAAGCCAAAATTCATTTAATTGTTACAGGAACACTGTAATGCTCTTTACACACTGCAGTGTGACTTCACAAGTTTCAGACATTCTGAAAGGGAAAGACTAATAGCCATCATGTCATAGCAAAAAGGCAAAGCCAGCAGTATTCTTGTTCTAACTTTAATAGTGACCAGTGAACTAAGAAATAACTAAAATCAAGTCACCCTTCTTGCAGACTCTAAAAAACTAACAAAACAAGATAAATGCAAATTAGCTGTTTTCAAGGGTTTGCTGCCTCGAGTCAAGTTGATGAACTGGTTTTGACTGTAGGTAACTTAAGACTTTCTCATCGACACAAATTCAAGCAAGGAGTAATAACAATTAGTAGAAGCGTAATGAACTATATCAGAACCAAATCCAGTACACCAAACTCCTGAAGCATTTTAAGATCCCCAGTCACTGAGGAAACCATGTATTTATCACAGCTATTTACCACTGTAAAATGTTAGTAATTTGTAAAATGCTAATAATCAGGAAGAAGGACACAACACACTAACCCCTTTGCACAAAAGAGACTATTAAGACAACACCAAAGACTAAACTATTAGTTCAACCTGAAGTAAGAATTTTGAAGTTTTCTGGAAGCTTCTCTGTTCAGGCTGCTCAGGAAGCTAAGGCAGCTGCAGACATCCCAGTGACTTGATGACTGAGCTCCTTTGTGTCTAGTTCCTAGCATGGCTTTCCACACCGGGTCCTAGCTGAGGCACTTGCTGCATTACAACTTCACTAGCTACTAAAATTCCCTGAATGCTTCCCAGAACTGCTCACTGCAGCACTCCCACTGCTACAGCGTCCCCAGGGAGGAGCCCAGGATTGACAAACAGAGCCCAGCCCCTCTCCAGACCCCCATCCCCCCCCAGTTCTGCTTACCGGAGAAAAATCTCTGCACCTCCTCGGTGGAGCAGGACCAAGGCAGCCCCCTGACCTTCACCACATATCCCTCGCTGCTCTCTGTGTTCAGCATCACATTGGGGGTGAGGCTTGGCTCTGTCTCGGCTTCAGTGGTTGCTGTAGAAGAGCAAAACAGGCTCCTTGAGAT